TCTGTTTCAGCAAGTGCTACAAACCGCCTTGCCCTTTTCTCAGTCTATAGCTAGAAGACACTGGAAGTTAAAATCCTGGAAACAACACAGCTAATTCTTGCTATGCCTGGTATCTTCATCATGGTATTTTAGGAAATAGGTTAGAACTGGCTTTTGAAGTGTCTTCATGAGCAAGTAGAAGGTGCAAGGAATTTTGCTGTGAAGTTAACTGTTCATTTCAAGAAACTAGTAGTAGCTGTAGACATGGTTAGGCATAGAGATTCTAGATCAGAGCTAACTTCTCTCTGGAAAGAGCCAGATGGTAAATACCTTAAGATTTGTGGTCTGTTTTGACCATCTGCTGTTGGAGCATGGAAACTGTCATAGATAGTAACAATAAAACTTTAAAAAAAACAGGAAGTAGTCTAGATTGCCCAGTAGGCCATAATTTTCCAAGCATTGTTCTAGATTCTAAAAGATATACCACTAGGCTAGATAGCTGAAAGGAAGAAAGCAGTGATTTTTAGATAATTGAATATAGTAACCCTTAATATTTACAGCCAAGAATTTACTATATGTGCAATAATAAACTTATAAGAAAAAAATACTTCTGGTTTTTTTTAAAGTGAAAGTGGGAACATTTATTAGACTGAAAGAAATCATCTCTAGGGTGGCACATGTTGCTATTGACATAGAAGAGGCTTGGAGAATTAAATCCCATCCCAGAACCAGACATAGTCACTGTCCCAAATAGTGTTTCACCTACTTATATCCTACTTCCCTTCCAAAATCAATTGAAGTAGCTATGACAAAAAGTGTATGTAGAAGTTGGGCACCAGTGACTGACACCTGTAATCCCAGCTACTCAGGAGGCTGAAATCTGAGGATCATGGTTCAAAGCCAGCCTGGGCAGGAGAATTTGTGAGACTCTATCTTCAGTTAATCACCAAAAAGCAAGAAGTGAAGCTGTGGCTCAAATGGTAAAGTGAAAACTTTGAGCAAAAAAGCTCAGGGACAGTACCCAGACCCTTGAGTTCAAGCAAATAAAATAAAATGTGTGTGTGTGTGTGTGTGTGTGTGTGTGTGTGTGGCATGTGCTTGATAGGACCAAGAACCTGGGTTCAATCTTCAGGGCCCTGCCATCTGATAAGTCAAAAAACATATGTCAGCTTTAGCTATAAATACACAGATATAAATTCAAACCCACATGAAAAGACCATAAAAAGCAACTTTAGAATATTCCTTATCTGCCTACCAGCTCAAGGTGGTCAACAGTGTCTGAGACTCATCAGTCTTTGGTATACCTCCCAAGATGAAAATTGATATGTTTTCTATTTTATCTTCTCTAGCATAAATTCCTTTCTGGAAAAGCAATTTTTCCCAATGTGTTAAATCAATCTCCTTCCAATGGAAGTGTTAGTATTTGTCATTTTTGTTCTGATTGAAGTGTAAGCCAAGAACAGTTTTACTACACTGGTATAAGGAAAGGAAAGAAAAAAATGATAAGCTAATGAAAACGTTGATGGACAAGCAACTTGACCATCCTATCCAACAGATCCCAAGGCTCACATAACTAATGTTTCATTAGCTAAGGAAATTTTTGTGTACTCATCTTGAAGCAATATCCATACTCTCAGGAGAAAAGAAGTATTAAATTGCTTCAAGTTAGGTGATTAGAATCACTGGTCAAGGGGGAGGACAGAAGAGGCAGAAATTTCAGCTGAGCTGCAAGGGATGATTTTCAGTGGGCATCAGAATGTGGCAATAAGAACAAGGGATCTGCAGGCCTGCCAATAGAATTATGGCTCCAGGATATTTCTGAAATAGGGAGAATTTTCTAGAAAAAAAAAAAAACCAGCATCTATAAAGGACTTTAGTACACAATCCTCACTATTATCTCAGCCAGCTGCCTAGCCAAGTGGATGTAGAAGACCACACAAAAGCCAGGCAGGATTTCTGGCAGTAGAGATTTGATGGACATGTCCAGGAGGATACTGGAATAGGTAGGGAATACTTCTTTAGGCCTCATGGATACTAGTCTAGTATTCATTCACAAGTGTAGACAGAAGAAGCTCGGTTACCTTTTGGAATAACATCAGAGTGGGTCAGACTTAACAACCACCAAGTTACTTACATGACAGAATTTTAAGATATATTCAGTAGTCTTAATTTTGTGATGGACAAGAAAGAAATTCAGTCACTTCTGTATTTATTGCTAAGAAAATATGATACATATTTTAATCTGTTCTTCAAATTTAGAAAGGTTCTAACTTTTAAATAGAAGAGAAAAATCTCCAGAATTTCCATTTTAAGTCTTGTTCTTTTTTTTTCATTCTCTCTTGGTAAGATGGCACATTGGGAAGATTTAGGGGGGATAGGAGGTCGTTTATCATATCTAAGTAGTGTTCTATTTGATACTGAAACTGGACCTCTATAATTTTTTATCTATCCAAACTCTCAGGCTGTCACAGATACTTGTGCAAAGATTATTATATTAAAGATTAAATTGGAGAAGACGTTTGGATTTCTAAAGCTCTTAGACTATAGGTGATGGACTCATGCATGAAAGTTTGGCAAAGATAAAATGTGAACATGAAAAATAAATTTCAGATCAAGATATGGAAGATAAGGAAGATATGGAATATCTTCCTTTCTTTGAAATTACTAACTTTAAATTTGTGTTTACATATAAGGAAGCATAAAAATTGTCCATAGTGGGTAAGGGGGAGTGGCAGAGCAGGTGCAGCGATAATAGTACATGAGAAAAGAAGCTGTGTGTCTCCACATGTACTAGTTATTGCAAATAAGGGAAACCATGAGACCTATGTTTCTTTGGGCCTGGCTTGCTTCACTTAATATTTTTTCTGTCTTTCCATTTCCTAACAAATGGGCAATGTTATTCTTTCTGATGGAGGCATAGAATTCCATTGTGTATATATACCACATTTTCTTGATCATTTATCTACTGAGGGCATCTGGGTTGGTTCCATATCTTGGCTTAGCTATGGTAAATAATGCTGCAATAAACATAGTTGTGCTGGTAGCCTTATTATGGCTTTGTTTGTGATTGTTTGGGTAAATGCCCAAAATTGGGATTGCTGGGTCATAGGGGAGCTCTATGTGGAGTCTTTTGAGGAACCTCCATACTGCTTCCCAAAGTGGTTCAACAAGTTTACACTCCCACCAACAATGCAGTAGGGCTCCCTTCTGTCCACATCCCCTCCAGCATCTGTTGTTATTAGAGTTCTTGATTATAGCCATTTTAACTGGGGTGAGGTGAATTCTCAATGTTATTTTGATTTGTACTTCTTTTATGGCTAGAGAAGTTGAGCATTTCTTCATGTGTCTAAAGGCCAAAAGCTAGGTACATATGACCATATAAGTTGATGGTAAGCAAAATGAACCCCAAGATAGGGACACAAATACCTTTTTTCTTTCTTGATATTGTTTCTAACGTATTTATACTGTACCATGTGATTTTTTTGTTTCCTTGTATGTTCCTCCCCCACTGTATAAACCCTGTTTTCACTGTATTTGACATTGGTGCCCCACATCTTGTATATATACTTCTCTAATTCAGGAAGGGGAAGGGAAAAAACAAAATGCTTAAATAAGGATACAGGTTGACCCATTGTAACAGTGAGATGTACAAAACACTATAAAATATTTAAAGATAATTGATAGAAATGCTTAAATAGGGGTACAGATTGACCCATTGTAACAATGAGATGTACAAGACACTATATTGGGGAGGTGGGAGGGAAGGGATAGTAGGAGAAAAACAAAGGAGGAGGTAACAATGCTCAATAGGAAATGTACTCATTACCTTACTCATGTAACTGTAACCCCTCTGTACACTATTTTTACAATAAAAATGTATTTTAAAAAAACAACACTATGTTGAAAATGAACTTTACAACTTCGGCGTGGCGGGGATAGTAGTGGAGGAGGGAGGGAAGGAATGGTAGGGGAAAACAAAGGAGGAGGCAACAATGCTCAGTAGAAAATGTACTCATTACCTTGTTCATGTAACTGTAACCCCTCTGTATAGCATTTTTACAATAAAAAAACTTAAGGAAAGAAAAGAAAAGAGACTGTCATCTATGTTGGCTAGAATGAGATAACCCCATACTTCTTATCCCTGATGCTGAGTAGCAGAGGAGCTGGACAAGACTTGAGCAATACCTGGGTTTGCCCTGAAAAAGAACATGTTGTGAGAAGTAAAGGGCCTTCTGTTGTCTTAACTATGTGTATACAGCTACATATCCCCAGTATAAATATGGGTAGTTACATGCCTCTCCAACTTAGTGCCATAGTTTATCCATTAATGTAGCCAGTCTTTATCACACACTTAGCGTATGCGATATGTACTGTGCACCACATCTGATAGAATGAAGGCACCATTGGCAGACAGGCTAAGGTGTGCCAGGAAGCCTGCCCATCCTTCGGGCAGGTGTGTATCATGGATCAGATCTGAATAGCTGCAGTGGTGTTCAAAGCAACTGAAACTGCCCTGAATGTGGCCTGAATTTTCTTTCTTTGTATTGTGCTTTCTTCATTTTAACCTCTAAGTTAAACTTTTTTTTTTTTTTTTGGGTCCGGTCGTGGGGCCTGAACTCTGGGCCTGGGCGCTGTCCCTCAGCTCTTCAGCTCAAGGCTAGCGCTCTACTACTTGAGCCATAGCGCCACTTCCGGCTTTTTTCTTTTTGCTTATGTGGTGCTGAGGAATCAAACCCAGGGCCTCAGGCATGCAAGGCAAGCGCTCTACCACTGAGCCACCTTCCCAGCCCCTAAGTTAAACATTTTAATAGAGAATTTTTCATAATTTAATTCAAAATTTTCTGGGAAGAGGTTGCTTTGCTGCTTCCGACTTTGGTTTGCACTTAAACCCTTGTGTTCCTTCAGCTTTCACAAGGCCAAAATCTGTAATGAAAGAACAGCATCTTTAGGTATAGATATAAACACACGTGTATGCTTTCTATGAGCAACCAACTCAAATATTTTGTATTTTTCTTTCACAGAAAAAGCAGAGGACAAAAGATCTTTCTCAAGTATTTCATTCTTACAATCCATATGACCACAAGGTAAGAGAAATGAACATGTTATTAATACATTTTATTGGAGTCTTGATGATGATTAGTGTTCCCATTAGTATAGTTATGATCCCTTCTAGATTTACATCTTTCTGAATGTATAGCACAGTCTTCAATATATGCATTTTTTAATATGGAAAGAAAGAAGGAAGAATAGGGAAGAAAAATGAAAGAGCAAAATATGGTAACTTTGAAGTGCAAATACACTTGTATTTCAGTTTAAAATTTTTCAACATTTGTAATGAAAACAATATTTGCGTTTGTGAACTAGAATAGTATTTTTTGCACATTAAAATCTAGTCACAGTTAGCTAGAGCTATAGGTCTAACACTTACCTAGCTTTAAAACAACAAAAACCTAAACAACACAAATCTAGCTACATATTGGCACTGAAGTCTCAAACCTTTAAGACAGCCTTTGGTAAAGTTTTTGTTTGATGTCTTAATATACGAGTGGTTTTTGTGTTTTGTTTTTTGTTTGTTTGTTTTTTTCCCAAATACTAATGAAAACCTCGGCTTTGCATTGGGAAAAGTAGTTAAAACATTACTTGCCAGGTCTGGGCTCTCCACTGTTCTATTCGTTATTTTGCTAAATAAATCATCCTTTTTTAAAAATCAGTAAATAGCATTATTCATGAAATATCCATCACCAAGAGTTTTGCTGGACAGAGATGGTCAAAAAGTGTGATGGCTCCCAAATTGCCATTTAAATACTTTCTAAAGACCCATTGTAGGCTGGAGCCATGGTAGAGTATAGAATACCTACTGAAAAAGCATAAGCTCTGAATTCAAACCTCAGTACTGCCTGGAATAAAAAGAAAAGACTCCTCATTTCTATTCTAACCCACACCCTTTACCCTTCCTATTTGAAAAATTTCCTGGACATTTTTTACATATATGTATTTCATATATTTGTAAAAAATAAAAACTTCTTTTTAAAAACACACACACTTGGAACCATTTTATAAAAAATGCTTAACGCCTTCCCATCTCCATGGGGAAATGCATTACAGATTTGAGACTTGGGTGAAACTTCTAGTCCGTGTTCGTTATATTCCAATAAATCTATTAATGTGTGGTGACTTCAGAGGCAAACAGAAATACACAGCTGAAATGCTCCTGTAAACTTAAAGTCCTTATCTATGAATTTACAGGTAAATTTACAGGTACCACATGGTAAGGCCTTTTTTTTTTTTCTGTCAAAATGATGAGTATGAAAAAATACTTTATACAGCAACAAAATTGTGCCCAATGGTTTGTGGAAGTTTGGAGAATTTAAATCATTTCTAGTGGTTTCCTAAGTGACCAGTTGACTTCATGTGCCAAACATTGGTAAAAAGAGGTGTTTTTGTTCCATGTGACCACTCTAATATGCAGTCTTAGAATTTAAATTATCAAGTGAACATTTCTCAAGCTAAGCCAATCACTTGGCAGAATACAGGGATTCTGTTTGAAAGAAATTGAGAAAGCCACTGGTGTCTGACAAGTCAAGGGGAAGGCACAAGCTGCTGAATATTACAGCAGCAGAAGGAATGAGATTGGCCAGATTTCTAATGGGAACGTTGCACTTTTTTTTTAAGTGAAGCCATTTAATTAATGAAAGTGCAACAGTGGCTAAAGTTAACATTTAACAAAAGCTTAGAAACAGAAAAAGCTATGGCAAATCAAAGGTTTCACCCAACTTGTCTACATTTTGCCCACTTCTAACATTTTTTTAATTTACAGTTAAGGGAATTTCCATTACTCTTTTATTAGACCTCTTAATGGAATCTAGCCATTTGCAGCTTCTACCAGCTTCCTCTTCATATCCTTTGTGGCATTATATCAAAGTCACCTCAGATTATTTTGGCTTCTCTTGTGAAGGCTTCATTCCCCTACAAATTAGTCATTGGGTAATGAAGAACTGAATAAAAGTACCTTTTGATCTTTAGTTTAAGATGGATAATAAATTATTGTAAGTAGCTAGACTGCTTGATGAATGAGTTTTGAAGCTCCTGAAGTTTGGCCATGTGTCTGCTTTAGGTGCTGTTTTATTCTGTGTGTGTGAAGTGAAGGAAAAGAAATTTTTGTTCTGGACAGTGCCTGGGCTCTTTATTAACCTCCTACTTTTCTTAGCTCCATCCCTACAAATGTAACCTTGCTACTTGTAACTTTGTCTCTTGTTTATTGGACTGTTCTGAGATAACTAGAACCACACACAGATAAACCCTATTTCTCAGTGTTAAAATGTTGTTTTTTTCCCTCATAAATAACAAAATAAGAGGGTGGTATTTCAAGTTACTCTGTCATTTTAACTACCCAGTTGCAGGCAGTCAAATTAGATTTCTAAGCAGATAGATGTGGTTTTTGTTTGTTTTTTGGTTTAGATTTTGTTTTTTGTTTTGTTTTTTGGTAGGTCGGTGGTGTGGCTTGAACTCTGGGCCTGGGCTCAGCTGGTCCCTCAGCTCTTCAGCTCAAGGCTAGTGCTCTACCACTTGAGTCACAGCGCCATGGCTGGTTTTCTAGTGGTTTATTCGAGATAAGAGTTTCATGGACTTTCCTGCCTGGGCTGGCTTTGAACCATGATCCTCAGATCTCAGCCTCCAGAGTAGCTAGGGTTACAGGTGTGCCCCGCTCAGATAGATGTTTTCTTGTGAAATATTTTCAAGATCTTTTAAAGTTGGCTTCAGCACCTTATGCTCCGTGAGATTTCTAGAATAATTTTTAGAGAAATATACACCAATATTGTAAATGGAAGCTTATCTAAATTAAAATATCATCTGTTGAAGATATACTGTAAAAAGAACTCGGAGGACCAGGTGCTGGTGGCTCATACATGTAATCCTAGCTACTGAGGAGGCTGAGGTTTGAAGATTGAGGTTCAAAGCCAGCCTAGGAAGACAAATCAGAGAGACTTATCTCCATTTGACCAGCAAAAAGCCAGAAGTAGCAGTATGGCTTAAATAATAGAGTGCCAGCCCTGAGCAAAAAAGCAAAGCGGGACTAAGGCCATGACTTTAAGCCCCAAAACTGGGGCTTAAAGAATACCCCTCAGAGAGACATGAATAGAGTTCAGTAAAGTACAGTGGACCATGTGTTAATGAATTTCAAAACAAAGTAAGAAGTTGTGGGCTTCGTTCTTTTGTACAGTTTTCTGTATGGTTGAAATTTTTCCATACCACAAGAGATGCAAGAGTAAGATTAAGCCATGGCTTGCTCCTGAGAGTGACTCTTCTGGCAATCTCTTTTTCTCTCTACCTAACTTCCTTTTAGTGTTAACTTCCCCTTGTACTTTTACATGGAAGAAGGGAAACTCAGCACTTCACTGGCTTCATTATGCTGAGTAAACTCAGAAAGACAACTCCTTTTCAATTGGCACCATTTCCTGGGATTTCATCCCAAATTATAGTGGTCACTTAAATGATAGCCTTGCCTACTGGAAACTGCTAAAACAGTTGTAATTACAAAGGGCAGTTAGAGCTGTTGTGTTCTCAGTGAGTCAGTTATGTTTGCTCTTCTTTCCATCCCACACCCCAGATTGCTCCGGACTGACCCCAGACACAGAAAAGTCACCAGGTTAAACAAGCAGATTGTTTGAAGGAGGCCAGGTGCATTTCTTAATCAGACCCTAAAGCCATTGTTAGGTAGTAAATGGTCAGCTGGTTTTCTCTTAAATGCTGTTGCAAACAGCAAACAAAACTCAAAGCAAAATGTGCACCCAGATGAGAGTTGGGAAATACTTTCTTACACTAATACATGTTGCTTCAGATTGAATTTCATTTTCAAGTGCTTTTGGTTCTGTGTCCAGATTAAAAGAATTCTCTTCAATAATTCCTTTTGGTTGTTGAGGCAGTCTTGCTAGGTAGCCTAAGCCGACTTCTAACTTGTCATCTTCCTGCCTTACCTCTCAAGTTCTGGGATTATAGATAAATGCCATCATACCTGGCAACCATTCGTAGAAATATTATTTATGCAAAGAAAGTTAATCAAAATGTGTTCTCATTTATCTTCCCTAATAAAAGGGAACATAGGTAAGGTAATCCAGAAGGTCATCTGATTATATTTCATGCATTTTTTTCCTCCGTTTTTTTAATGAATATACCTTGTGGTTTCTGAAAGTACACCAAGCTAAGTACCGGGAAAGGTTACAGGGCCAGAGGCCTTCTAGGCCATGGGGTCAACCTAGAGATTGTTTGTTTTTGTTTTTTCTCCCCCTTCTGGAGAAGTCACAGGTAAGTTAAAACAGGCTATAATTAGAACACCTTTTATTAAAGTCATGCAAATTAGTGTGTACTGTGTGTCCTTGGCCAGAATAAAACCTTACTGTGTACATAAAGGATCTCCTTTTTTTATAACTTTTTTGGTAGATTTTTATCAGAACTTATGTGTTCAGGGGGAAATCTAGGTTTATTAGCTAAACACAGATGTTAATAATCTACTAATATAAAAAGTTACTATAAAATTGGAAAATGCTAGGGAAGAAAAAAAATTTTAGATCCACAGCAATTTTTTAACATCTCCCAAGTTCTAAAACTCAGTTCATATGAGTGATTTAATATCTTCTCCACATTAAAAGAGAGTGTTAAGCCAAGTCCTGTTAGGCTATGCCTATCATCCTAGTTATTCAGGAGGCTGAGATATGAGGATCCAGGTTTGAAGCCAGCCCAGGAGAAAAGTCTTTGAGGCTTTTATCTCTAATTAACCAGCAAAATTCTGAAAGTGGAGGTATTGTTCAGGTGGTAGAGTACCAGTGTACACACACACACACACACACACACGCATACACGATGAGTATTTAGCAGTTGTCACTACTACAATGCTTCACAGCTGGAGGCTGCTTTTTTGTTTTGTTTTGTTTTTGGTTGTGGGACTTGAATGCAGAGTATGGGCTTTGTCCCTGAGCTTTTTTGCTCAATGCTAGTGTTCTACCACTTTGAGCCACAACTCCACGTCCAGTTTTTAAGTGGTTAATTAGAGATAAGAGAATCCAGAACCTTCCTGCTGTAATCCTCA